AAAAAACAGAAATTGGCAAATCTTATGTTTGACCCTGTAACTTTCCAAATAACCATAACATCTGTCCTTGAGGGGTACTGTTGTACTTGTGAGACATTGCTATACACAAATATGAGTGTTTTAGAGCAGTAAAATGTATTATACTGATAATAGCATCAGTGAAATGGCAGTTTGTGTGTGAAAAATGCAAAAAAACTAATATAAAGGCTAATTTTGGCCAGGGTTTCTGGCTAAGTGGCTACTAAAAAAGACTGGACATATCCCATTTTGAATACAGTGGGTTGTCTACTTTTACAAATGGTATGCCATGATTGGGTTAATTGTCATTCCTGGGCTGCCATATGGTTTCAAAGGCAACATAGGCCCAGTAAACCAATCTGGCAAATTTCATCGTGCAAACATGGAAAAGGGGAAAGCCCTACATTTGACCCCTGTAAGTGTTAAAAAATCACCATTTGAAATACCCTAGGGTGTCTACTCTTCAATAATATATGGTTTGATGGAGGTAAATTACATTGGCCGTCTTTTCAAAATTTCCCAAACAGGACATGGGTGCATGATGACCAGCTGAGAAAATTCCAAGTTGGAAAACTGGAATGCACACCCTCCAAATAAGGTATTTTAGCCCCCAGAGAACACAACACACCTATATATGGGTGGTATCACTGTACTCGGGAGATGTTGCTGAACACATATTGAGTTGTTCTTTGGCAGTAACCCTTTATGTGCTCAGTACATATATTCTTAAATTGCTATGTGTGTAAAAAAAATCACCAATTATTATTATTTTTTTTTTTTAAATTTGGCATAGATTGGTGATAAAATGGTTGCATGAAAAGAGTCAAAATACCCCAAGTTTAATACCTTAGTTTGTCTTCTTTTAAAAAATATATACATGTGAAGGGTTATTCAGGGATTCCTGATAGATATCAGTGTTCCAATGTAACTTTCATTAATTTTGAAAAAAAAAAGGTTTGGAAATAGCAATGTGATACTTGTACGTATTGCCCTATAACTTTCCAAAAAAGCTAAGAACATATTAAGATGCGTAACTGATTTTGGGAGTCAACGTTAGAAAAAGTGTGGTTTTTAAAATGTTTTCATTATATTTATAATTTTGTTATAGTAAATTATATGAAATGATGAAAATAATGGTATCTTTCTTTAGAAAGACTATTTAATGTCAAGAAAAACGGTATACAATATGTGTGGGTACAGTAAATGAGTAAGAGGAAAATTACAGCTAAACACAAACACCGCAGAAATGTAAAAACAGCCATGGTCCTTAACGGTAAGAAAATTGAAAAACAGTCTGGTCACTAAGGGGTTAAACATCAAAACATAAATTTCCTTACATGTAAAATCACTTGGTGCAGCAACAGATCCTAAAAGATATCAAGCACAACGCGTGTTGGCTTTTCAGCCTTCCTCAGGTGCATAGTTCAGGTCTCTGTAATCTCTGTTTAAATACCGCGCCAAAATCGGCTTGTATTCCATCTCACATCTCGTCATTTCCGGTGTTCTCAATGACAACTTCCACTTTTTGGGCGGATGTTTTCCTGCGCCATCTTACTTTTCCCTGAGTATGTCCATCTTCTTGTCGAGTACTCCGGTTGCCCCGGAATTAGTCCATCAGACATATTGGAAGTTCTATATTTTGGCAACTCAGTTTGTATATAGAAAAATTAGTAAGTATATACATACTCCTATCCTCAACCTGGGTTAGTTAAGGGAATATTGAGGGTATATATTCTTATGGATTTGATTTCCAAGCTCATCCTGATGAAAGTCTGTGATACAGACTGAAACGTTGATTTTTATTTTGAGCTAATAAAAGCTAAGTTTTATTCATTCAACTTGGAAGTCCCTGGAGTGCTATCCTGTACTTTTGGCTGTATAAATACATAAAAATGTGTAATATCAAGGTTGAAGTTGAAGTGAGCAGGTGCAAGGTGGTTACAAAGGACCAGAAGACTAAACTTGTCAGGCTCTTGTGCGGATTTCAGCTCCTATCTCCGAAAAACAGTTAGTGGGGGACAGCGTGCCGTGCAGAGGAGATAGAGGCACAGAGACTGTGGTGAGTGAAGAGGGACATATGGGCTAAGGTGTGTGCAGGAAGGTATATGAGCTGTAGGGGGGGGGTGAGTAGGTTGTAGAGGTTGTGGTGGGTGAACGGTGGGATAGGAGCTCTGGTGGGTAAAGGGGGGCATAGAGGCTGAAGGGGCTGCAGGGTGAGATAGAGATTGTGGTGGGTGAAGGGGGCATAGGAGCTGGGAAAGGTAAAGGGGGCATAGGGGCTAGTGGTGAAGGGGTGCATAGCGGCTTGGATGGGTAAATGAGAGCATAGAGGCTGGGACCTATGGGCTGAGATGGATGCTGGGTTGGATAAGGCATGTGGTGGATGAAGGGGGCATAGGGGCTGGATGATTAAAGGGAGGCATAGGGGTTGGAATGGTAAAGGGGGGATAGGGTCTGGATGGGTAAAGGAGGACATAGGGGCTGGATGTGTAAAGGAGGGCATAGGGGCTGGACAGGTAAAGAGGGCATACGGGCTGGATGGATAAAGGGGGGATAGGTGCTGGATGATTAAAGGGAGGCATAGGGAGGGATAGGGGCTGGATAGGTAAAGGAGGACATATGAGATGAATGTGTAAAGGAGGGCATGGGGCTGGATGTGTAAAGGAGGGCATAGGGGCTGGATGGGTAAAGAGGGCATAAGGGCTGTGGTGGGTAAAAGGGGGCATAGGGACTGAAAGGATAAAGAGGGGATAGGGGCTGGATGATTAAAGGGGGGCATAGGGGTTGGAAGGGTAAAGGGGGGATAGGGGCTGGATGAGTAAAAGAAGACATAGGGAATGGATGTGTAAAGGAGGGCATAGAGGCTAGATGGGTAAAGGAGGACATAGGGGCTGGATGGGTAAAGGAGGGCATAGGGGCTGGATGGGTAAATGGGGGATCTAAAGAAAATATTGACATACCTGTTGATTCTGCCATGCTGCTCCTTAGCTTCATCAGACTGTGCAGGAGAGCAGGGGGCAAGAAGTGATGTAACTTCCCGGGCCCTGCCTCTTCCCTTCACACTTTGTTCCGCAGAGCTACGGCATGGAGGAGACCTGGCAAGAAGAGCAACATTGAGAAGGAGGGGGACATTTGCAGGAGCAACATATCACTGTGCTATAAGTAAAAATATGGCTTTCTGGCTGGGGAGATCTCTCCCCAGCCAGAGCATTGCTGTGCACCCAGCCAAGCCCCTGACTGCCTTGGACCCTCGGTCCATGACCGATCTGCCCGAGTGGTCAGTCCGCCCCTGGTTATCTATAATTGTTTCCAAGTCCTTTTCATTTAATTTTACCCTAGACTCTATCCCATTTAATGTATAATTGGCTTGTGGGTTCCTTATTCGAAAGTGTATGACTTTGCATTTATCTGTATTAAGTCTCATCTGCCACTTGCCTGCCCAGTCACTCAATTTATCCAAATCCTTCTGTAGAGAAGTTATATCATGTTCAAATTGTATTTTCTGACCTATTTCTGTGTCATTTGCAAACACCGACAATTTACTTTTAATGGCCACTTCAAGATAATTTGTAAATAGATTAAAGAGCAGTGTACCCAGGACAGAACCCTGAGGCACACCACTTACAACTACTCTCTGCACTCTATCTTTATGCCAGTGTTCTATCCAAGAACACTACTTCTATTCTAAACCAAAGAACTGTATGAAATGCCTTAGCAAAATCCAAATAGATCACATCTACTGGATCAACGTGATCTATATTTCTACTAACTTCTTCATAGAATGCAATTTAGTTAGTTTGGTATGACCTGTCTCGTAAAACCATGTTGCTTCATGCTAATGATATTGTTCAATATTAAGCTGCTAGTAAATCATTGGTATAAGCTGTGTCCTTTCCACCTGTCAGTCAGTATAAAAAAGAATAAAGAGAAAACCAGAAATGAAACAATCAGGGGTTATTTTCTACAGTGAAAATTAAAAATGAAATCAAAGTAAATTTTGGATTTACGCCCAGAGTAGTTGAACTGAAAGAATAGCTAACTTAGAGAAATTTTCCAGTTTTTTTTTCCACCTGAAATTTGATATTCAGTTAGAATTCACTTTCAATTCTCATTGTAGTGATTAACCCAGATTGTTTCAATTTCTCCTTTTCATTTTCAAGGTTTCCCCTAGCTTAGCCTTGTCAAATTCTGTCATATAAATTTATAGGAAAATAAAAATCTCTTAAAAAAAAAAGGCTAAGGCAAGTTAAATGTGATTTTGAATATTTTATTCAATGGTATAAATTCCAAAGAAGTGACAATTCCCTTTTAAGTAGTTTTAATCATCTTTCATATTTATTTGCCAACACATTCGCTATAGTACATTCACTGTTTGATTTTTAATGTGTAAAAAACTATCTTCTTAGTCAGCCTTTTCTTAACTTCTTTCAAAATACTGAATACATGTATTTGCCATATCATTTACATTAATTTTCTTTTTGATGTGATAGGTGATATTTCGATTAATAATATAGTAATAAAGATAAATATACAGATGTAATAATATGTTTCAGTATTTATTTATACAAATAACTAGAGGGATACAAAATGCTACCATCGCAGAGGATACATTCAAGGAACACGTACGTATTTGTGGCTATCTCCCAGGCAACAAGGTAGCCTTTTATGATATAGCAATTACAATAATAAGAAACAATAGCTTATTCATTACATTTATTTTTCCAACTTAAATTAAAAAACACATTCATGATGAACTAGTAGGGTTTATTTATAGAACCCTACCAGAGGAGCTATACAAAATAGATACTTACATAAAAATCAACAAATTGACTTTGCAGAGTTGAATTATTTTGGTTTAGTTATGCCATTAAAGGGACACTATAGTCACCTGAACAACTTTAGCTTAATGAAGCAGTTTTGGTGTATAGAACATGCCCCTGCAGCCTCACTGCTTAATCCTCTGCCTGTTAGGAGTTAAATCC